CTGGGAATAACACCTAACTCATTATAAATGTTCCATCAACACTCTAGGAATAGCACCTAACTCATTCTAAATGTTCCATCAACACTCTGGGAACAACACCTAACTCATTATAAATGTGCCATCAACACTCTGGGAATAACACCTAACTCATTCTAAATGTTCCATCAACACTCTGGGAATAACACTTAACTCATTCTAAATGTGATGTAGCTTAAGGAGTCGCTATGCTGACTCAGTTATTACTAAACGAACGCCTGCTGCATTGTACATACAGCATTTGATATAGCGACCTATCTACATGTAGCTAACATAAGTCACTCTAAAGCGTTTAACAGTACATAGATATACAATTTATACAATAAATACAATTAGCATGTTCATTAATCAATTCAAGTTTTGAGAAATTCGCAGGAGTTGTTTTATCAGGCGTTTACTACTAGTCATATGCCACCTGGCTAATATCTCCCTATGTGTGTATGTCTGTGTGTATGCTGGCGATGTAACGTGTTCTGTTTCTAGTGGGACCGTGATTCCAACGGCATCTTTTATAGTACAACCTCACTTGCATGCTTCAGCACAGATACCGCAACATCCACCCTGGACCAATTTATACTCCACCTGTGTTGTTGGAGTTGTGTGGGCAGAAGAAAAACACTTTCTCTGAATATCCATGTGTACGACCACTGATGGGCGAGTCTACTACAAGTAGTGATGCATTTATATCAACTTGATGCCGGTCCTTCATCAGTTTAGTTACAGCGTTGTAAAGGTTATTATTTTAATTTCTTTTGAGCCAATGCATTAGCAATTACACAAAGCTTGTAAGGAAGTGTCATTAAGGCTTAGTTTTAAGATATGAGGTAACAGATGCAGCCGTATTTTAGAAATTCCGAGTAAAGAGATCTTCACTAATTCCATAAAAGTTTTTATCGTCAACTTTCCCCTTCTGGTACATACTTCAAAACTATTTTAGTTTCGGACATGGGCCTTCATTCTTTTTATCTTTAGCGTGATGGATGAGTTATAAATGGACAAAGTAGCCATGTGGTACGAATTTCTGCAACGATTAGTTACTTAATTTCTAAAGAAACGTTTCCTTCCGTCCTATACCTTGTGCTCAGCATTTTGTCGGTAAACGTCAACTATGTTGGAATTCAGGTGACCATTATTTTCAAAATGCCTGATATTGCAGTAACCGCTACTGTCATACTGTAGTTCATTTTGTGAAGTTTAATGGTAATTAGGATAGAAGTATCATACTGAAGGTTTAATGTTGTAGATTCTGATAGCGAAGAGACTATAATTGCCAAACCATTAGTAAAGGCTTTGAGAAGTTAGTATCGGGGTGATCATTATTGTCAATTTGTAAGTAAATGCCGTTGACATTTGATTGAGGTGATCACTGCTATCTCATTATAAATAAAGGTGATGAAGTTTGCAGTGAGGAACACTGTCAAACTGTCGTTGTTTGTCGTTTAGAGATGATGATGGTGTGACATTCATTATAAAAAGTCAGTAAAAGTCTTGAAGTGTTGATATCGAGGTGACCAGTATTGCCTGTAGGTAATTGCACAGATGTGAAACTAATTTCATCTAAAGCGCTTTACCTTTTAATTGATTTAACAGAAGCAAACTGCCAGACGATTCGTTTATAACGTCGACCTTTAGCGAACAGCCCAAAACATTGCAATATCCATTCACATAAATATCATGTGGTTCATCTTATACAACCAAATAAATCTCACGACAGACATTCACCCTATCAGTGAAACTGTATAAGGATAAAAAAAATGACACAAAAATGATAGACTTCTAATATTATTGTCAGACAGATAACTAATAGAGATAGGTATGACTGATCATTTAGCAACAACAGAAATTATATGTAAATATTTTAGATAGATTGTAATTAAAAAACAATAGTTTTTCGTCAACATACGAAAAACAATAGTACATGAAAATTAAAAGAAAACGGAAACAGAATGAAAGTAAATTCAAAAGAACAACAACAATAAGGGAGTATATAATAACCGGATGTGAAAATATGATGAACCCCACAAAAAATGAACGATAGGTTCGACATCCACCATTTTGTAAACATACATCAGGTGATGACCGTCAGTTGTCTTATTCACAGATTAAAATCCTTCAAAAAGAAATATACATTTAGTAGCGTAATTAATGTATTTATCAACAGGATGCAGAATCACCTTCCCCTGAGCATGCTAGCATTACCAACACGTGTTGCTAATGGACTGTAATGTGTCAATCCCATAGGCCTGGCACGATGACATGCTACTGCTGAGGAAAGGGGAGTAAATATCCATATATGTGGTGAGAATGACGTGATGGTAAGTGGTAATCTGCATGGTATGGATATCACTGTTTTACATTACTTCTTGTGATTGCATTAGTATCTAACACCACCAACACAAGGTGTACATAACAATTGGGACAACATTTCCACCAATCAAAGCCAACAAAGCGAAAATATAAAATATTTTGGATATATTTTTATTACAAATCACGTCAAACGCTGCTGTCTGTGTTTAAGTTCCTTTAATGTGGTCCTGTTGAAGGATTCGTAAATATGTTTTACTAGTCTAAGCCTCGTACATGTATATAATTTTCCTCTTGACGAGAGACCATCACTGCCAGATGCTTAATGAAGCTTTATAGTCAATACAATCAAAATGCGATGTCTTCCTCTAACTTATGCAATTTACGTACCATGGTTGGTAACATAGCAACAGACAATTACCAGTAGTTACACAAAAATAACTATCCACACACGTGAAATGCACATCCGACACATATATATATTTAATTGTTAAACACATTTCCTACACCAATACAAATTTACATACGTAAGATGTATGAAACAATGCACAGATAAATGGAAAACTCTTGATCTTAAAATCATAAAGAATGCTTATCTTTCTATAAAAAAAAACTCACTGCTCAATTCACTTTTGACAAACAAAGGCGACTTATAGTATAGCGACAATGGGGCAAGCACTGATTCGTTTTATGGGTAAAGAACGATAACTCGTATAAAATGAAATCGACTTGCACTGATTCGAGATTTTATTCTAATTATTACAAACGAACACCCGTATATATACATGTAATTGCAGTGTTGATCATGTGATAACAAAACATAGGAAACGGTTTTGTTATATGCTTTCGATCGTGCACTTTAGCATTAATCATTGAAACTACGTTGGTAAAGTACACTTTTATGTATCCCAAACAAACAGAGCAACACGTTTAAATTCAATTATAATCATTCTAATTGGCAAGAATCTGTTTATGTGAGAAACGATGCGAGAAAAAGCTTTCTATATTTGTATGGGAAGGGTCGTTATTACGACATCACATATGGGCAAAGCAAATACAAAAGCTTTAAAGGTTTTTTTGTATTGCATAATAGGTTATATAAACTGTAATGAAAACAATGCCAACAAATCAATCTTAACGTTTCAATTAAGGAAGGGACAGTGTACTGAAATCTTCACACCAATTACAGGAACTATCTTATAAAAAAGTATCAATTATTCATTCATCTGAAATCGATGTTTTCCCTTGAAACATAAGTTTGTGCCATACCATATTTCATCAAAGTTTAAAACAAGAGACCCGCCAAGGACAGTATACCCCGCCAATAAAAACCGCGCAGGAAATAATATTGACCAATCATGCACTTGTGAAATTTCAGCACAAACTTGTACAATCTGGACATGTTACCCATTCTAAGCATGTGGAATGTAGGTTTGTACAATCATCAATTTACAATTTACGAGGAGTAAAATGCTATGTTCGCTCTTCGCACTCGTGAATATATTCGTCCGCGCAATAAACTCGTGCTTTCTGATTCGTTATAAAAACACAAGTGTGTGGTCTTGCAGATGTTTTCGTTGTTAACACACTGATTTTGTTGTTATTTGCATTTGAGAACCTCAACATTATGTCCAGTTTGGTATAACAGCTAAGTCCGCTGTAATAAGCTAAGTATTACAAATAGGAATCCCCATTTGCTGTATCAGTCATGGGAGGACGACAGGGAAATGCCTTGCGCACGTGGTACCTATCCTTCCGACGAGATCTCGTCACGCCGAGTGCCACGATAACGACAAAGAGAATCGACAGTAAAAGACCAATGGCCACAACGAGAGGTATCACACATGTTTGTACATCACAGGAGCTAGTCCGCCGTTCTACTTTTGACTCGTACACATATCTGGGTATCACAATTTCTTCGCGATTTGTATCGTTATTTGTCGTATCCCCTGCTATTGATATCGTTCCCTTCGTTGTATGGCCTGATTCTATGTCTTTTGACCCGATATCATCTGACGTAGATATCGTATTATCTGTTGTAACGATATTTCCTTTTGGTGTTGACAATAAAATATTTGTTGTATATATTATTCCTTCTGTTGTGACGATATGTTCCTGTGATGCAGGCAATATATTTTCTGATGTAGAAATTGTATCTTCTGATGCAGATATTGTATCACCTGATGCAGATATTGTTTTGTCTGATGTAGATACCGTATCTGCTGCTGTGACGATAGTTTCCTGTGATGTAGACAGTATATTTTCTGATGTAGATACCGTATCTGCTGTTGTGACGATAGTTTCCTGTGATGTAGACAGTATATCTTTGGATGTAGATACTGTATCTGCTGTTGTGACGGTAGTTTCCTGTGATGTAGACAGTATATCTTTTGATGTAGATACTGTATCTGCTGTTGTGACGATAGTTTCCTGTGATGTAGACAATATTTCTTCTAATGTAGATACTGTATCTTCTGTTGTAAAGACACTCTCTTCTGATGTAACTCGTGTCCTTTCTGTTGTAATGACCTTACCGTTTGATGTGGAAGCTGGATTTACTGTGTTGGTATGAGATAATGGTAATTCGACTAGCTCTGAAATCGAAAACAAATAACACATTGAGTTTTTATGCGGTGCAATTATGTCACTGACAGTTTAAGCAATCATATCACCCCATCATATATTCAAGAAATATGGGAATGACAAATATATCCTTACAAAATACTTGATATATAGATAAGTTGTATAGAATTTTAAGCAAGCAAATACATGAAAAATCCGCCAATCACCAATGAAATTGTTTAAAATACATCATCTAGATGTTATAGTGTACTTCATGAACTATTGTATAACGATTATAGTGTCGATATAAAAAAAAAAGTACAGATAGAAAAGTTGATTAAAATAAATAAATAAAAACAACTTTTTATTTTCTTATGATGTCATAACACATTTTGTATTGAATAAGAATAAAAAAAATATGTTTTTGTCAATTACCTAATACAAGGAGTAGATGTTATGTTGTTACCATATAGAATTGAACTCTATAAAGGGTTTCAAATGCATTTTAATATGTTTGCCTTATTTTCGAGGATTGTTCTAAACACTTCGTTCTCTTGGTCTTCCGTACCACTAAAGAGCTCGTAAATGGAGGACACCATGGTGTTATGAAGGGTTGCTTTTTTTGAATTTGGTTTTAAATAATTTGTGTCTGTGTGACTTCCTACTTCGTGTTTCTATTGATTGTTATAGGGAAACTGCATAACAACAAGGTTAAAAGGAACGAACACTTGTCCCATTATTTCCATGTAAAAACTGTCGAAATGACATTGTGTATATAGCAAACCCATGTTCTAGCCATACCCTGTTACAACAAACCCCTATTCTAGCTATACCTTTTTACATGTACAACACACCTCCATTCGACCCATACCCTGTTACAACAAACCCCTATTCTAGTCATACCTTGTTACAACAAACCCCTATTCTAACCATACCCAGTTACAACAATCCCCTATTCTAGCCATACCTTGTTACATGTACAGCACATCCCTATTCTAGTCATACCCTGTTACAACAAACACCTATTCTAGCCATACCCTGTTACATGTACAACACATCCCTATTCTAGCCAACCCGTTTACAACAAACCCCTATTCTAGCCATACCTTGTTACAACAAACCCCTATTCTAGCCATACCATGTTACAACAAACCCCTATTCTAGCCATACCTTGTTACATGTACAACACACCCTAATTCTAGCCATACCCTGTTACAACAAACCCCTAATATTGTCATACCTTGTTACAACAAACCCATATTCTAGCCATACCTTGTTACAACAAACCCATATTCTAGCCATACCTTGTTACATGTACAACACACCCCTATTCTAGCCATACCTTGTTAAAACAAACCCCTATTCTAGCCAAACCCTGTTACAACAAACACCTATTCTAGCCATTCCTTGTTACATGTACAACACACCCCTATTCTCGCCATACCTTGTTACAAAAAACCCCTATTCTAGCCATACCTTGTTACATGTAGAACACACCCCTATTCTCGCCATACCTTGTTACAAAAAACCCCTATTCTAGCCAAACCCTGTTACAACAAACCCCTATTCTAGCCATTCCTTGTTACATGTACAACACACCCCTATTCTCGCCATACCTTGTTACAAAAAACCCCTATTCTAGCCAAACCCTGTTTCAACAAACCCCTATTCTAGCCATACCTTGTTACAACAATCCCCTATTCTAGCCAAACCCTGTTACAACAACCCCCTATTCTAGCCAAACCCTGTTACAACAACCCCCTATTCTAGCCAAACCCTGTTACAACAACCCCCTATTCTAGCCATATCTTGTTACAACAACCCCCTATTCTAGCCAACCCCTGTTACAACAACCCCCTATTCTAGCCAAACCCTGTTACAACAAACCCCTATTCTAGACATACCTTGTTACATGTACAACACACCCCTATTCTCGCCATACCTTGTTACAAAAAACCCCTATTCTAGCCATGCCTTGTTACAACAAACCCCTATTCTAGACATACCTTGTTACATGTACAACATATCCCTATTCTAGCCATACCCTGTTACAACAGACCCCTATTCTAGCCATATCTTGTTACAACAACCCCCTATTCTAGCCATCCCCTGTTACAACAGACCCCTATTCTAGCCATATCTTGTTACAAGAAACCCCTATTCTAGCCATACCTTGTTACATGTACAACTCATCCCTATTCTAGCCATACCCTGTTACAACAAACACCTATTCGAGCCATACCCTGTTACAACAAACCCCTATTCTAGCCATACCTTGTTACATGTACAACATATCCCTATTCTAGCCATACCCTGTTACAACAAACACCTATTCTAGCCATAACCTGTTACAACAAACCCATATTCTAGCCATACCTTGTTATATGTACAGCACATCCCTATTCTAGTCATACCCAGTTACAACAAACACCTATTCTAGCCATACCCTGTTACATGTACAACACATCCCTATTCTAGCCAAACCCGTTTACAACAAACCCCTATTCTAGCCATACCTTGTTACATGTACAACGCACCCCAATTCTAGCCATACCCTGTGACAACAAACCCCTATTATTGCCATACCGTGTTACAACAAACCCCTATTCTAACCATACCCTGTTACAACAAACCCCTATTCTAGTCATACCTTGTTACAACAAACCCCTATTCTTATGTTTCCCCTATTCTAGCCATACCTTGTTACATGTACAGCACATCCCTATTCTAGTCATACCCTGTTACAACAAACACCTATTCTAGCCATACCCTGTTACAACAAACCCCTATTCTAGTCATACCTTGTTACAACAAACCCCTATTCTAGCCAAACCCTGTTTCAACAAACCCCTATTCTAGCCATACCTTGTTACATGTACAACACACCTCCATTCGACCCATACCCTGTTACAACAAACCCATTTAATAGCCATAACCTGTTACAACAAACCCCTATTCTAGCCATACCTTGTAACAACAAACTCCTATTCTAGCCATACCATGTTACAACAAACCCCTATTCTAGCCATACCTTGTTACAACAAACCCCTATTCTAGCCATACCCTGTTACATGTACAACACATCCCTATTCTAGCCAAACCCGTTTACAACAAACCCCTATTCTCGCCATACCTTGTTTCAACAAACCCCTCTTCTAGCTATACCTTGTTACATGTACAACATACCCCAATTCTAGCCATACCCTGTTACAACAAACCCCTATTATTGCCATCCCGTGTTACAACAACCCCCTATTCTAGCCATCCCTTGTTACAACAAACCCCTATTCTAGCCAAACACTGATACAACAAACCCCTATTCTAGCCATATCTTGTTACACCAAACCCCTATTCTAGCCATACCTTGTTACAACAACCCCCTATTCTAGCAAAACCCTGATACAACAAACCCCTATTCTAGCCATCCCCTGTTACATGTACAACACATCCCTATTGTAGCCAAACCCGTTTACAACAAACCCCTATTCTCGCCATGCCTTGTTTCAACAAACCCCTCTTCTAGCTATACCTTGATACATGTACAACATACCCCAATTCTAGCCATACCCTGTTAAAACAAACCCCTATTATTGCCATACCGTGTTACAACAACCCCTTATTCTAGCCATACCCTGTTACAACAGACCCCTATTCTAGCCATATCTTGTTACAACAAACCCCTATTCTAGCCATATCTTGTTACAACAAACCCCTATTCTAGCCATACCCTGTTACATGTACAACACATCCCTATTCTAGCCAAACCGGTTTACAACAAACCCCTATTCTCGCCATACCTTGTTACAACAAACCCCTCTTCTAGCTATACCTTGTTACATGTACAACACACCCCAATTCTAGCCATACCCTGTTACAACAAACCCCTATTATTGCCATACCGTGTTACAACAAACCCCTATTCTAGCCATACCTTGTTACAACAAACCCCTATTCTAGCCAAACCCTGNGTTACAACAAACCCCTATTCTAGCCATACCTTGTTACATGTACAACACACACCTATTCTAGCCATACCTTGTTACAACAAACCCCTATTCTAGCCAAGCCCTGTTACAACAAAACCCTATTCTAGCCAAACCCTGTTACAACAAACCCCTATTCTAGCCATACCTTATTACAACAAACCCCTATTCTAGCCATACCTTGTTACATGTACAACACCCCCCTATTCTAGCGATACCTTGTTACAACAAACCCCTATTCTAGCCATACCTTATTACAACAAACCCCTATTCTAGCCATACCTTATTACAACAAACCCCTATTCTAGCCATACCTTGTTACAACAACCCCATATTCTAGCCATCCCCTGTTACAACAGAACCCGATTCTAGCCATACCTTGTTACAACAAAGACCTATTCTAGCCATACCCTGTTAAAAATCAACCCCCTTCTAGCCATACATTGTTACAACACCCCCATATTCTAGCCATACCTTGTTACAACAAACCCCCATTCTAGCCAAGCCCTGTTACAACAAATCCCTATTCTAGCCAAACCCTGTTACAACAAACACCTATTCTAGCCATACCTTGTTACAACAAACCAATATTCTAGCCATACCCTGTTACAACAGAACCCGATTCTAGCCATACCTTGTTACAACAAAGACCTATTCTAGCCATACCCTGTTACAAATCAACCCCCTTCTAGCCATACATTGTTACAACACACCCCTATTCTAGCCATACCTTGTTACATGTACAACACACCCCTATTCTAGCCATACCTTGTTACAACAAACCCATATTCTAGCCATACCCTGTTACAACAGAACCCGATTCTAGCCATACCTTGTTACAACAAAGACCTATTCTAGCCATACCTTATTACAACAAACCCCTATTCTAGCCATACCTTATTACAACAAACCCCTATTCTAGCCATACCTTGTTACATGTACAACACACACCTATTCTAGCCATACCTTGTTACAACAAACCCATATTCTAGCCATACCCTGTTACAACAAACCCCTATTCTAGCTTTACCCTTTCACAAAATAACCCTGTTCTAGCCATACCTTGTTACAACAAACCCCTATTCTAGCTATACCTGTTACAACAACCCCCTATTCTAGCTATACCCTGATACAACATTCCCCTATTCTAGCCATACCCTGATACAACAAACACCTATTCTAGCCATACCCTGTTACAACAAACCCCTATTCTAGCTTTACCCTTTCACAAAATAACCCTGTTCTAGCTATACCCTGTTACAACAAACACCTATTTAGCTATACCCTGTTACAAAAAACTTATATTCTAGCCATACTCTGTTGCAACAAACCCGGGTACAACCAACATAATACACTCACTATAACGAAGTAAGAATCCAGCATAGCTGGTGTCGGCGTCCGAAGTAAACGTCATTTCAACATCTCCCACAGACGTGATGGCATAGTTCTGTACCGATTGAAAGTTCCATCGTCCAGAGTACCGTTGATTCTGTGTAGTCGAATTACCTGAAACATTCACAAATGTGTCTTTATACATTACGTTAAATGTGTACTCTTGTATGGAGTGTAAAAGTAAATGTTATATTCCATGACCAGACGGGAATTTAAGTCAGAGACTTCTTATGAACTAAGCCATCTTGACAAAGACAATCGACCTCCTGTTACGGCACGATTTCTCACCCGACACGATGTCTCACCCGGGGGAGAAATCGTGCAAAATTGCTGCGTTTGCAACACGATTATCACCCCTGCACGATTTCTCACCATGCCGTAACAGGGGTCGATCGTCTTTGACAAGGTCGCTTAGCTCATAAGAAGTCTTACTAGTGTATTTGTTTGGGTGCCGATAGAAAAGGGGAGCAATGGTTATTATGTGGTTCAAGCCTAAGACCTCGAACTTGTGCATACATGTACCAACCGAATTCCAGTTCAGTAAAACTGATAGGTACATATGTCATGCAATTGTGTAATAAATCATATCGGGAACATCTACTATTAACGTTCTGTCGGCCATTAAATGACTTGGTTTTAACTCAGCATTTTCTATTCAAGATGGGTCACGGACAGCATCGAACGACATGCTGTACCTTTATAAGTTTCCGTACGGTTACAACGTATTTCTCTGTAGCATAGTTATAAAATAAAAATAAATAGAAACAAGATACAATGCGATATTGATACCCTGTGGTGTATGGGAGATAACTCTAATGGTGACTTTAGAGTATACTACACGTCAGTCTGTGTAAAATATTTCAACAGATCTATACTTTGTCTATGAAAAAAAAAACTTATCCATAGTGGCTATCTATATACAAGTTTTAACTTTCTATTACAGTGTACCAGGAAGTTGTTGTGATCATGAGTGTGACATCAGACGGCCGTTAGACTGAACTACTATGTAAGTATGAAGCCTCCCATGTTTACTACTGTATATTGTCATCAGATAACAATGTCAGATGTTAAAATAAGAAATATGCTTTGCTTTATATAAGCAAGTCGCAGGTACCAAATGTGCCACTGTGTTGCTTTGCATTTCAATCAACAATATCACTTGACCTTTGTCTTTTAATATGACATTAAGCGTTATGTTGTTAAAAGGCGTGAACATGTAAACTATTTCATACTGATTGATTATAGCGACCAATTTCGAATGTGACTTTGGGTGACCAATATTTTCATTATTAGTATCACATGATAAAATTGTAAAAACTGTAAAATTAATATCTTATTATATAAATACAGCTTTACATACATGTATATAATGCAATTGTTAAGTAGAAAACATCCAATAATGTATATATTTTACAATTATGGACGTTTGTGCTTGTGAATATAATGTGATATGAACCTGAAAAAGCGATATTGACCGAGGCGAAGCCTAGGTTAATATCACTTTTTCAGGTTTATATCACATCTTATCATATGTTTACTAATAATAACACCCTTTTTGTATATGTGATAAGTCTAAAATTTCCACAAGTTGATATCAGCTCGGGTGATGTCACACCCCCTTGAAAGTGATATCGCACCCCCTCCTAAATTTCCGGATTTGGCCGTTTCCGCTTATTGTTGTCTGCTTCTAATGTAAACAAACGAATTGTTGGCATGGAATAAATGCCGTTTCATGGAAAATGATTTAAAGATTGATTTACAAAGCCCCACCCAAATTTCCGGATGGCGCCGCTTCCGTATTTGGATTTGCTTATTAGTGATACACCTGTCGTCTGCGTAAACAAAAACAACGATGGCGACTATAGCTAGTACTGGTGAGGAGATTTTAGAGGAACTCAGTGGCAGCAAGGATTGTTGAACTAGGTGAATTAATCCTGGAAAAGGAGACGAAACATGTAATGGATGCAGGGGCGCGATTTAATAATGCTAGTTAATGATACCGAAGCTTTCGTGGAACAAGGAGGAACAAGGAGGAACAAGGATACATTTCCTCATCTTTCATGAGGAACAAGAATACTGCGAGAAAAACGCAATCCGACATCAAAATTTTCACGGATTATCTGATGTCTCAAAATAAGTGGAGATCTCCAGAGTCTATTGACTCGGTTCAGTTGGCGGATTACATGGCCAGGTTCTTCATGAACGTCAGAAAAACGATAAATCTGAGTACGAACCATCAAGTCTGAGGTGTTTACAATTCAGCATTAACCGTTATCTACAGGAGAAACACTACGACGTCAATATTTTGACCGATATTAAATTCAATAATTCTCGTGATGTGCTAAGTGCCAAAATGAAGAATTTGAAGACTCAATGCAAAGGAAACCGCCCAAATGCTGCTGATTCACTAAATAAAGAAGAAGTGTCAATTCTGTATGAAAAAGGGGCGCTTGATTTAGGTAGGTACAGTATTCAAATGAATAATAAATAGTTCTATAAGCTTGGTAGCTGTTGGTTCTAGTTAGTAATAACTGTATTACTGTTATCATTAAGTGAGGAATGCCCAATGGATATTGAAAATTGTATTGTGTTGATGATTGATTCAGACAGTGATTAAATTGAATTCCAACCAGATCCATTATGTTATATTGTTAAAACTTTTTAAAAACATGTTATTTTGTAGGAATTTAGGAATTTCTAAATGTTGACTTTTTATGATAGTTGTTACTGTTTTGTTTATATACATCATTGTTTTTGTTATCATTTTTATGAATATCAGTAAATAAAATAAAGAAATGATTTGTTTGTGTATGTTTTGTTTATTTTAAAGGAAAAAAAACATATGATAAAAAGTTTATGATATGACCATTTTGATAGCACATCCCATATCAGCCCTCGAGTCCTGATACCAGCTCTCTTGCCTTCGGCCCTCTGGCTGATATCAGGACTCTCAAGCTGATATGGGGTGTGCTATCAAAATGGTCATATGATAATCTCTTAATATTTACCAGCACAAAAGCACATAGCTGTTTTAATATATGCTTCAATAATAAGATTTAAAAAAATCAAGATTCAGATTTCTTTTACGCGAACCTCCTTGTAAAATTTAGACAGGGTTGAATCCAACAGTTCAGCATAGTAGCTTTCGAGGACACCGTCAAGGTTCTTTTTCCTTAAGATAAGCATGGTTGGTGGCAGTTTTGTGTTAATAGCATCTTTATCCATGAGTAGTATTTAAATTGTTTTTATATTTAGATATCAACTTTCACTGAATAACCTGTTTACATGATTTTTTAGGACTGGTCACGTGTGTAAGATCCGACCAATGTGATTGCGAGCAATTTTCAAGCAAATAATAAATGTATTTATCACATAATGTACATGTACTGTGTTATCCATGTACCCCTGTCATTTGTTTTGGCGTATTAACCCATGCTATATGACCCATCAGCCCTGTGATTGGTCGTAAGTTTCAATTATTTCAAGTGTGACGTCCCGCCTAGGACAAGTACGTATACATGACGTCATCCATTTACGCACACGAGTCAAAATGGCGACTTTTAACATTTTAAGGATGCATGCAAATTGTCGTCTTACACGAATAAATGCCACCAATTCTTGATTATGTGATAAAAAGGATCTTACACTTGTTTTCATTTCATATGAAATGGAAATTCATGTAAGATCTTATATATATATAAATGTACGTATACCAGGAATTTTTGCCAATCAAATTTTCACCCTTCACCCTTAAAATCGATTTTCGCCCAGTTTTAATTTCGCATTTCCGGTTTAATTACTACGCTTCTTGTATTGAGCACTTATATTTGCTGTAATGATAAATTCGCCGGCATAAGTTAAGGGAGGGAGAAGTACGGCGACAGTTAAACTGTGGACCATATTTACCGGTATACAGTATTATATTCAAGGTACATGTATGTATATACAGACCAAATATATACAACCTACATAGCATACATTTAAACGGTAGCGATACATGTAGGAGCAAAATATTTAAATTAATTATCGTAAAATATATCAATGAATTATTGTCGCAACATAAATAAACTTTTAAGATATCTCAACTGTGGACTTACCCTCTGCATAATCTATCTGTAGGTAATCTACCGGGTCTTCGGGCGGCGTGGATCCGTATTCAATGTCTATAAAATCTACAGTTATGACGATTTTGTATCCAGTTTTGGACGGAATCTTCCAATGACAGGTTTGACTCCTGTCAGAACAATAAATTGTTAGCACAACTAATATATCACCAAGGGAAACTCCGCAATATGGACGATAAACATCTTGTTAGGAACCGCTGATGTACATTTAAATCCAAATATACTAGTATTGTATTGTCTAAAACGAAATTCTCTCAAATTATTAGCACTTCGTCCATTCAATTTGTCTCAATTTATGAGACCTATTTTGTTAAGTTTATGTTTTTCCATAAGTATTTTTACAGGCTTTATTCCTCAGTTAACTGATTTGTTTTGTTTAACGAAACCACAAAAATTATCCTTATAATACACTTGTAAAACCTAAACTCTGGTGTTGTTTTGGGTCTTTCCTAACCCTTTGACTAATCAGGAGAAAGGAAGCAGAAGGTAGGTTGAGGAGCTGACTTTTGACCACTGGTTTTGTTTAGGGTTATGTTTCAATTGAACAACTTTCAAAACTACACAACGTGATGTCATTTGGGTGGCAATGGCCCGTCTCCTGCCCCCGTCTACTGCATAACTATTACACTGACATAACAATATACAGATGTATGTGAAATAATGATCACAAAGAATAAACTTCACATTTAACATATAAGTATTGGAATGAGGAATTAAAACAATCTACCATCTCTCTTCATGTTATAAACAGTTAGGAGCTGCCTTGGAGTCTTTGTTAAACATGATACAACATGAATTTGGATTTCGGATGAAGTACATACGTATATAAGTACATAACATAAATAAGTGAATCAACAAGAAACAATGAGGTGGTTATCGGAAGTGCCCGTCTACTAAGGAAGGCTGCTGTTCATGGAAACACAAACCACTTCCGACAACAATACGTACGACGGGTAATGCTTTGGGAAGTGTGGTGATGTCAACACTTCAGTATTCTTTCCGGCTAAGAGCTCGACGTCGCCCTTTGATGGACAATCGGCGACATCTGGGTGTAAAATATATACTGCATTATAGGTGTGTCTTTCACGGGTACACACATCCGATATCCGTAACAATATTATAACGGATTTTAATATTAAATAGTACCCTTCTCAGCTGATCAAGCCTTCAATAGTAAAAAAGGGGTTGACAATACTTATCCATAGTTAGGTAAACAAAAAACATATATTTATAAATAAAAGCTAATATTTATGATATAATACATTTCTAAAGATCGATTACGATTACAAAATGTATTTTATTGTAAATAACCAAAAAAAAAAACCCGATCATTGACAAAATACAGTACATGTTTACAGTATATACAGTGAAACCGTCCTTTGTTTAGAAACTGTCAAATAAAGAGCTGTTACTAACGTATTATTGGAGTATCAGGAAGACAGATTGTTAACTTGATATCTAACTTATTAATCAATGTGTATACGTCCCTTTTTTGTATGTGAATTATAAAAAAATGAATGTAAGTAACTTGTTAAGTGATATTTAAGTATTGCCTGTACTTCTAGTGTCAACACCAACCATTCTTAAGGCGCGAGATATGAGAACCTTAGACACCCCCTCACTCCTCACGTTCCTCAGCACTGATTCTAACCATGGGAGATAGCAATGTAAACTGAAACGTAATGACACTTGCTACACCTTCGTTCTCAAGCACGTGCTCCAGTATGTCTTACACGATGCCAAAGAACACAACTGCTGTCTTCAGTGATAACCTTGACTGCATCAACGGTGCTACACATGGACACATAACGAACGCCAACAACATACACGTATACATGTATGTCGATCGTTCGTCTATTGGAAAAAGGCATTCATGTTCCCTGTCAATATCATATCAGACAAATCAGATAAAAAAAAGAGATTGATCAAGCAATTACTCATTATAAAGGCAGTCGGATGATGCATATAATACAGTCAGAGGGGCCTTTCTTATTGTCTTTAGTACTACTGATTAGTCCTTGAATGAACGAAAGGCCATATAGTGCGGCAACATTGTTATTTCGATAGGGTTTCCGGATCTACTTACTGAATTTTTCTTAGTTGTTTCTACTTTAGTTTGTACTTTGTACTCTCCCTCTGTATTAAGAACAGCACAAAATATATCAATCAACCGTGTTCCTTGTGGACTTTTTAAAACAAACCTGGAAACTTTACTGATGTTTTTGCATATACTCTACTCTAAGCTTGATTTTTTTATGAAAGGCCAATTTGGCAGGAAAATATTAGATGTTTTGTACACCAGTCTCTCCCTACACATGTGCCACGTGTCTGTTGAAGCGAACATTTCAACATACTTTATATTTACAAATACACCAATTATTTCTTACATCATTTCTCAACCCATTTATCCGAGGATTTTTAATTACAGTCAACCGCTACAACTGACTTCAAAAAACCTTCATCAGCTAGTTGAGGAGCCTTGAGGTTTGGTTGTCAATATCAATGGCTGGTCCGTTGGCGTTTTTTTTATCAGATTGTTGCCATATTCATGGGGACAAACTATGCCCTTTCCATGGTAAACCACACTTTTTCAATATAAGGCTGCATTTATTGAAGAGCCTATCAGGAAAGTTGCCAAAACTCCTTGCTACATGTCTAAGTCCTTCATTTTTACCCTCTGATATACGAACAATGTTTTAAATGACAAAGAGTTTGCGGGTAGCTTTCATTGTACATGTATATGCTCTCCTGACCTTGAAATCATGGACTCTATAAACTCGTCTTTATCAGCCGCCTGCCTAGATCTTTAGTAACAACATGATCAAGAGGGGCGACAATATAAATTGAGACTTTCTGATTTTCTACTTAATGTAATTATTATATTTTGTCACTAACCCGGTACTCTCTTTGAGAATGTACCATTACTTTATTTTTTACCTTTATAAATATGGCGGGTTTCGCCGATGAATAAAATACAAAACACTCGTTTGGAACACCAGGTCTGATTCATATTAAAAAATCATCGTTTTCGAGTTAGAATTAAGGCTTTGTCTACATGTTGGTGTCATCTTTGTATTTTGAATATTTTAGTACCTCCCACCAGGTGAGCAAAAATTAAAGGTGATAACACTTTCGCATCGTCAAAGTGCAGGAGCATTAAAAACATGTAAAATGAAGTTAGTTTAAACCATATTTTATTCATGTCAATAAACATGCACAATTACATAGACATTTTATCCAGATGATTGGGAAACAAGTACTGTTGTACTTATACATAGTCCTTCTCATCATATATAACAAGCTTTGGTGATAAAACATGTATAACTTTGCAGTGATAGCCTAAATATGTACATACGAAACTGTGAAGAGAAACAGATAGAACATGATATTAGGGATAAAGATAGTAACTGATGGAGTTTTACCCGGTTGGATGGGTAGTTAAGTTTACATGATAACTTTATGTGGTTGAATTATAATTGCTTGTAAATCTTCTGGTTGATTTGATAAAATGTTGAGTAGCTATAAAATTGTTTACATTTTGGTCATATGTTTTTGATACATCACCAAACAGTAATAAATCAATACTTAATCGGTAAGGCAATGGAGTCAAGTATCTTAGGCGTGATTCAATGTGATTAGTACAATATAACAAATAATGGGAACTGTCTTCTACAAAATGTCCACATGAGCATAAGGGATTGTCAACAAGATTTCTTTCAAAAAGGTGGCGTTTTAAAGAACTGCAACCGAGACGTAGTCTAGTATGATATATTTGATATTGTCTCGATCCTACATAATAATATTCAGGGGGCGTCCCCTAAAGTTTTGGTCGAATTAGGTTTTGAAGTTGGGCAACGAAGGATTTAAACGAATCTCCTCAGGAATATTATTTCAAAGAGAAATAACTGAGGGTAGGAAAGACTTGCGGTAAAACTCAGTAGTGCATCTGATACCTGAAAGATCGTTACCATGTCCAGTGATTTAGTTATGCAGTTCATACATGCTAGGAGGTACAAGCTTGGAGCGATAATCAGGAGTGAGACGATGAAACATTTAAAAAAAAATGTGTCAGTTTATGTTTTTTCCTTCTTTCACGTAAGTTTTCCCATCCGGTTTCTATATACATCTTATTTGGGTTTGTAAGTTTTGTAGCACCACATACTATTCGCGCTGCCTCCTTGTAAATTTTCTCAAGCTTATTTATGTATTCAATAATTAGGTTGTCCCAGACGACGTCAGCATATTCCAAAACAGGTCTTATAAACGTAAAATATAGTATTTGTAAACTTTTTCTATCAAGGGTAAAACGTATTTTCCGTAAAAAGTTTAGTTTAGTCGTCACCTTGTTGATAATGTCATCAACATGTATAGACCAACTACAATCCTCAAACAGTGTAACACCTAAATGTTTGTGGCAGTTCACATTTTCTATTTGGGGCATTGTTAAGATATAGGAAAGAATGATTGGGAGGGACTCTTTTCCTTCATATAATAATACTATTATTTTTTGTGGATTGCAATCCACTAACCAAAGTTTAGCCCAAATATTGATTTTTTCGAAGTCATTATTTAGTTGTTCAGCTGCCAAAAAGGGCGTATCAACTATGATATAAATTGAGGTGTCGTCAGCGAAACGCTTAATTACAGAGGCAAATCGACACTATCATTTATATAAATTAAAAATATAACAGGCCCTAATATCGAACCTTGAGGAACACCAGCCTTGATATCTGCCTGTATAATTCCACCCCGTTGATAATAACTTTTCGTTTTCTGTTTGTTAAATAGTTTTTGAACCATTGAACCACTTTACCGCCTAGTAAAGTATTAATAAATTTGTACATAAGGCCTTTGTGCCACACTCGGTCAAATGCCTTTCTTATATCACAAAACACAGCTCTTACTTCTTTTCCCTAATCAACTGCCCTTCCCAAATCATTTGTAATAGCCAATAATTGTTTTACTGTGAATCCCCGGGAAAATGAAATTGATAAAGTAAACGCATAACAAAAATTTAAGTTTCTGACATGTTTCAAAGAAAATGCGTCATGTCAAATCAAATCGTATATGAGATGAAACTAAACAAAATCCCACGTGTTCGACACTTGACATTTTGCAAGGCTAACTATGTACTTTCTCTAATAATTGAACAGTAAACCTTTCTTAAGCAAGACGTTGTTCATAGTGCTTCTGTTACTGAAAACGTCATAATACGGGGGAGAAGCTATAACAGTAGTGACACGTTGATTTAGTTTAGAACGAACCACAATCGTCAAAGAAACTATCTTAATTATATTCGCGATAAAAAGATAGCAATTTCACATTAAGACGTCACTGTAGGGAAATCCGAGACATAAAGTTCTGCAAATAGAATATGCTACAAATGTAAAATCAAAGTTCAGTGCGAGCACGCAAAACGAAACTCCGACTCTAACGTCGATACAAAACCATGACAATAGGATACGAAAAAGAAAACAATATCAAAACGTAGAATACCGAAAACCAAACGAACGGTAGAAGCGATATCTGGTAAACCGAGAACGGGACGTAACGTTGCCTATGCATGTACCACACTAGCTATGTCGTTTTCGATTTGCACTTTCATTGTACACACACGAACACACTTTATGAACAAACGTATGGTATAATGTTGCTTAGATCACATTGCCATATGTTTATGTACTTACCCAGTTTTACGCTCGGCATACTAGTGACATACAGTCGGAACCCCCTGTCGTTATCTCGCTGTACACCATTGGTGCTGAACTCCACCCTAAGGCGTCCAGACTGTGTATAGACGTCGCTTGTGGTGGCATCGTCACAAAATGAAACTATGTCGGTATTTGTGTGTACTGTAACAAGGAAATATTGGTTATCATGTACTTGTTAATAGTACACATATAGTCAACAAATCGAGGGCTACAATCATGCACTGTTATACGTAGTTTTCATTCTGGGCCCATTTGTTTTACTCCAAGGTAAAATCTCACAAATATGCGTGTAACTTTACTCTACAAAATATTTGAGATCTGGAAAAAATTGTAACTAATTCACTGGTTGTGATTTAAAGATACGCAACAATTCAAAATTTGCGCTAATCACTTATTAAGCTAATCATCTTTTAAACAACTGGACCCTGGTAACTGTATGTCCCTTACCTATCCTTTCTATTGTTCCTGAGTACTGTATCTTTGTTTAGTCCAATAATTATTTGACTAAGATAATGTCAGTGAGATTGACCCGTCACTTCATTTAGTACCTATAAGTGTTGCCATCATATTTAGAAATCGTTTTTTTATAACGTTATCTCTTGCTGGGACAAAAAAAGCGATCACTAAAAAGCCCACCTCCTTCTGATAAATTGTAGTAAACTGTAACATACTGCTATATGTCCTACACGTGTTGGTAATAGTCTATTCCACTGGGTGCTTCACGTTACGGATTGGTGCCGATGGATAGTCAGTAAGAGGTCTTTATTTCACACAAACATTTATTCAGCGATAATGAGTGCTCAAATTTGAAAACGCTACAAAACCAGCTACATTTCTTCTGTAACGCCTATGCTGGCTAGGCTACAGACCGACATGATGTGTAATATAAATCCACGTTCATAACTTCGGATACAGACTCCGTCACTCATGGCAAGGACAAAAGAGGCACTCCAGATTACAAGAGTGCTTCATACTATATCAAGCATATAATGTGTCCCAACCCACACTCGTTAGTTTGAATTAAACGCAATTCGTATTTAACATATCTTAGTGATTAGACACACAAACTATCATATAGCTGTGTTTGAAATGGGACTTTGTATACTTACAATTTATTAACCGGATTACGTCCCCCTTACAATCAACATAGACGTCGTCCATCCGCACAAAGAAGTAGTCCGTTTCATGCTCGAATTCGAAAATCCAGGAGCAGTTCAAATTACTGAAAATATCAATTTTCATAAAGGATTCAATAGGCTCTGCTTGAAAGTTATTGATACTGTTCTAGCAAAGCACAGTTAACTATATCATTTTCATTTTTGTGCAATGATAATATTTTACTTTAAGTGTATCCGGGGAAGGTTGTGTGTATCACTCAACTAATATGTTATGTAATTAATACACGTATGTTTTTGCAACAATAAATATCATAATGAGATTGTATCTATATGACAATAGATATGATATCATAGCATATACAGTACAGATAATGAACCACAAACGCCTTAACCTTCAGATTATATGTTTAACTAATGAAACAAGAGTTATAATGATTAAATGGGCTAGTAATGTGTGTGTATGGCCATATACATGTACACGTGTTTTGTATATGCGTGCATTTGTGTAATATCAAAGCTGGTTGTGTTCAAAATACAGACGCTTCATTTTAACCGTACGCTATTTTATTTTATTTCACATTCGTATATAAATCTAATCGACACGGATGCCAAGGGCGGCACCGAAATAATATTATCAATATACCACAATTTAAGACTATGTCCCACTCATGGGATTAAATCATCTCGCAGCTTCAATTGTGTACCAACAGACTGGGGCACAAACGTGGCCGTGTTGGAAAATCTTTCTCTACGTCACGATATCTCAGTGAAATACATACCAAATAAAACAAAGACGTTGTTTGAGAACTAGCAACAAAAAACCTGGAGTCTTGCCTACGTTAGCGCTACATGTGTACAGTGTTAGTGTGGAAGGTCTATCGCTAGACAACGGAAAGAAAGCCAAAAGGTCAATGATGAGATATCGCGTAAAAAGCTTAAAAGAACAATAACGCTTTATGTTCAGTTTTCTTTTAACTTCTTAACGTGTTGTGATAATTGCTTAGTGCCGTGGTTTGAAACTTCTTCCATATCACTCTGTATTATTTTAAAGAATGAGACAGTTGTTGGTGTACTTACATAGCGTAGTTTCTGGGGTAGCCGGGACTAGTGATACTGGCTGTGTCGTACAGTGGTACAGGGATGACAAAGGGCGAGTTATCACACTGACAACTCACACGAACAACTACAACATACGGACAACAGAGGCAGTGTCAGGTGATACTGGCTGTAAAGTACAGTGGTACACGGGTGACAACGGGCGAGTTATCACACTTACAACTCACACGAACAACTACAACATACAGACAACAGAGGCAGATACAGATGATACTGGCTGTGAAGTACAGTGGTACATCGGTGATAACGGGCGAGTTATCACACTTACAACTCACACGAACAACTACAACATACAGACAACAGAGGCAGTGTCAGGTGATACTGGCTGTGTAGTACAGTGGTACATCGGTAACAACGGGAGAGTTATCACAATGACAACTCACATGAACAACTACAACATACAGACAACATGGATATTGGCATGGGTTACTGGCTGTGTAGTACAGTGGTACATCGGTGACAACGGGCGAGTTATCATACTTACACCTCACACGAACAACTAAAGCATACAGTCAACAGAGATATTGGCATGGGTTACTGGCTGTGTAGTCCAGTGGTACATCGGTAACAACGGGAGAGTTATCACAATGACAACTCACATGAACAACTACAACATACAGACAACAGAGGCAGTGTCAGGTGATACTGGCTGTAAAGTACAGTGGTACACGGGTGACAACGGGCGAGTTATCATACTTACAACTCACACGAACAACTACAACATACAAACAACAGAGGCAGTGTCAGGTGATACTGGCTGTGTAGTACAGTGGTACACGGGTGACAACGGGCGAGTTATCACACTGACAACTCATACGAACAACTACAACATACAGACAACAGAGGCAGTGTCAGGTGATACTGGCTTTGTAGTACAGTGGTACAGGGGTGACAACGGGCGAGGTATCACACTGACAACTCACACGAACAACTACAGCATACAGTCAATAGAGATATTGGCATGGGTTACAGGCTGTGTAGTACAGTGGTACATCGGTGATAGCGGGCGAGTTATCACACTGACAACTCACACGAACAACTACAACATACAGTCAACAGAGGCAGTGTCAGGTGATACTGGGTGTGTAGTACAGTGGTACAGGGGTGACAACGGGCGAGTTATCACACTGACACCTCATACGAACAACTACAACATACAGACAACAGAGGCATTGGCAGGGGATACTGGCTGTGTAGTACAGTGGTACACGGGAGACAACGGGCGAGTTATCACACTGACAACTCACACGAACAACTACAGCATACAGTCAACAGAGATATTGGCATGGGTTACAGGCTGTGTAGTACAGTGGTACATCGGTGACAGCGGGCGAGTTATCACACTGACAACTCACACGAACAACTGCAGTAATCAGTTATACATGGAAAACAAATTATATTACAAATATAGAATAAAAAAAGTAAACAACTGAAGTAAAACTAACATTGTTTAATAGGGAGAAATACTTATATAACACACACAGAACCAACCACTAACAAAACAAAAACAGACTTAAAAACGTATATTATAGATACAGAAAAAATACAACTGTTATCTTAACTGCTGTTATTCTCACATTACACTAATAACGAAGTAAAATAGATATACACGTAACAGCATTGCACTGAATAAGTATATATATATATATAATAAGAAGTGATATAAAAGTCTTCTCGTTGTGGGATGACTATTAAAGAAAATATGATGATATCGCTAGTTCCATGTATCGAGCTAAATATTATTTCAATGCTTTTTTTTTTTTTTTTTGGACAAAATTACTAAAAACAAGTAATATCCAATCCTATCAATATTACAACAGAGCTATACCATAAATGTTGTAACTCTGTATGTGATCATAAAGATACCTTACCTTGTACCAGAGCACCGATGACAAGAGACAGAGCGTACCGTCGGGTTGTCATGATGATTTACGCTCGGTCCGACAGCTTATCTAAAAAACAGAACGCAGACTTACGTACATGTTCGGGCATACCTAAGATATTCAAAATTGTTTAAAGTAAGAAATAGTTTGTGGCAATTAGATTGTGCGAATCTGTTTAATACTAACCCTGTCACCGCGCCGTGTGTGTACATGTATACAGCACTGTTATAAAACGTGAACAGTAAACATAGATGATACACATACCCTTGCGTTACAGAATAGAACTTCGCCTTTTCCTGTTTTTATAGTGTCCTGCATCCACACATATTATCAAAAAGGCTATTTTCTTTTTAAAAGAAAACGAGATAGCTTCGTGTGTCACAATCTTTAGCCTTATTTACGATATGTACATGAACCGAACGTGCAATGTGTAAGTATACTCCAGTTTGTATTAGTGCGGAAAACAGTAGTGAACATGTGTGGGGGCTGTATGTAATATAACCACGCCCGTGAATAAGTCTGTGTTTTCTGAAGGAAAACGACCAAATACACTTTCGATTGCCAAGCTCTGTGTCAGGAGTACATACACTTAACTTGGCAAAACATGTGTATAGAATGTCAGAAAAATAGATACGGACTGTCAATATATATAATTTGATAATACTAAGGAATGTTTAAAAATACATTACGCTGTATTTACAATACTTATAGGAATGATGATAATAAGTTTTTAAGGGCTACTTACAGTACATGAACAGTCGCTTTCCGAGAGTACACGGACTAGAGTGATATAATCCTGTATGCTACATTCCGGTTCTACCGCCGATATTGTTAACCAGATAAGATATCGATACTATCTATATCGGTAGATTCCCAATGTGTCACTATGGTTACTGATTAATGTTGACTTAAAAGATTGATAGTTTGGATGCTGTAGCTGGAAAGCGTGCGTTAACAATACTGGAATTTGCGCAACATACATAAACGGCAGGATGCGATAAACGTTACGGATGTACTGTGATAGCCGCCCTCTAGATCTGTAAGGAAAGCGATTCGACGACTCCCACACCCAGCTCTCAGTGAATGTCTTAAGTATCACTTTAAAACATTCGCCCCCGTGTATATTTATTACGCATTTATTCATTTCCAATATATGTGTGGTCAGGGCGTTGACACAGGGACTACGAACTTGTAAAATAGTAGATGCCTAGGTATGTTGGGTATGTTTTGAACTAGTCTGGCTGTCACAGTGTGCACCAATAGTTTAGATCAATTCCATGTTACAATGCCAACCCCGATGATAGTACATACACCTAGAGTGGAAACCTGTCAGTGCCAATGAGTCGACCCCAGTTAAATGTTATCGAAGTGAAACTCACATTGTTGATTGGAGTGAAAACATTGTACGCATTCTCGATTTTCTTTCCTCCCGTATTTTCCTTACATAGACACGTTATCCCTTTTTCCGTCCGTCTGAAGTGTCCCATGTGTGTTTATTGGGAATACTAGTCCGTTTGAAGTGTCTCATATGTGTTAATTGAGAATAGCCCGTCCGTCCGATGTGTCTTATGTGTGTTAATTGAGACTATTCCGTCCGTTCGAAATATCTCATGTGTGTTTTTTGAGAGTATACTTCCGTGGATACAGAAAAATTGTTTTCAAATATCAATCTATCCAATGATAGGAAACACTTTTAGACAACCACCAGAAAAGTGCTATTAATTACCAGAAACATAGGAGGAGTCTATTTATTGATACCGATAGCTGTTTACTCACGTATTAAATGTGCACTGGCTTTAAAGTAACCGTCCCTCTCAAATTAGTGTTAAGTATAATCGTGCGAAGCGTTTGCCCGAATATTAGTTTTCACACAAGGCGCAGGGTTGAAGCCGTGCTCATGTCATTATCATGTACATGCGAACTCACGAGATGTCGTGAGAGCAGAATCCAACGAACGACAAGTATGTGATCAACTGGGTCAGAGGTAATGTTTACACAATACACGAATTTAACATTCACTTATGATGTAGTATTCAAAAAGGAAATGATGGTAAAGCGTGCCAAAATGTGACTAGAAATATCGTCATTTTAAAAGGGCCAATGGGGCAGCATGTGTGACATTATGTGTGACATTATGCAAATCATCGATTTTTTTATATATATATATATTTTTTTATATTTTTGGCAAGTTTCATATACAGAGGGTGGTATAAGTTCGAAAAAAAAAATGCCAGTTTCACCCTGCAGAAAAAAAGAGCAAAGGGTATCGGCACGGTACCTGTAACGACATGTAGTAGACGCGCTGTGTACATGTACATGTACATAGTTCTTTTGCTTTTGCTGTACCGTTTACTAAGTAATTTTTAACTTGTTTTGACATTGTTTGCCTTTGTCTACCTTAAACATGTGTGAATTGTGAGAATGGATCCTGAATATCTTGATTATATTGTTATGTTTATTCCTAATGTTATCGTTACTCATTATAACTAACCGAAAACAAGATGCTTCACTGTTACACTTTGTTTATTATATTCGTTCACTTACGTTAAAGCGGTGCTGTTTATCCTTACCTAAGCCATGTATTGATAATCAATTACTTGCATATACATTCATGCTTCGTACAAAACATAACATAAAGACCGAGAACCGGGATCACCAAACAATCTCGGTATTTATCCAGCAGGATCTTTATATCAATTTGAATTTACCGAAAAATGAGGATTTTGTCATTTTAAGATATGTGGAAGGGGTAACCTTAACTGCTTTTCTGAGATTAAAATATAATTTGAAGACGTTTTACTTCCATAATTAAGAAGAAAATACTTCTTTAATTAATTGTGCAAACTTTTATGGCTTTCTCATTTCACACTTTGGATATGTTGTTTGAATGTGTGGTTGTTAGATTTCACCAAACCTACATATTAGGTAAACTGTGTATGCTTACATTGTAACCGACCTTTGAAAAAAACACCACGACATATTATTTTCTTTGCATCTTTTATTAAGTATGGCTCAGAAATATTGGTCAGTAGAAATTTTTGACTTTTCATAAGAGCAGATTCACACAATCGTTTCATAATCCATGGACCAGAGGCCAGACTGTGGATGAATAATGGCAAAGGCATACTGTTAGGCTAAAGAAAGAAGAACAAATAACACAAATAAGATCGTAGAAATAGCTATACATATGACTAAAAAATACAGGAGTATTCGTCATGATTCTTTTTATTCATAAAAAACAGATGAATGCTTAAAAAGACCACCATCATTTTAAATTACAACCCTCCGGGAAAATAATCAATAATTAAAAACTCTATTTCATTGGTTATTTACACAACAACTATATACCACATCCACCAAATGATACATTTAATACATGTACCAATATGATTAGAAAAGCTCTGAAATTTTGAACTAAGCAAGGGTTTTCTCCCTTTGTTCAATCAAAACCTTGATCAGGAACCGCTTGCATTAGACGAAATTATCACGAATTTATAATGGTACATGAAATCATGTTTAGGCTTACACCATAATTGCCACACAAAAAAGTAGATAGTATCGAATCCGTTTAAAACAACTGGAATAGCAGTCCGCAGTCTAATGAAAACATGATAGTTTACATGATGGCTTGCTGACTATTTTAACATTATTACCTTCCTATACTATATCATCAATACTATTGGTGATATCCTTCTAAATGCTATTTAATTTACTCTTTTTGGCATTATCTAACGTTCTTTTCTTTATTGTCGATTATTTAGCGAGTAGAGTCGCTCTTCTAAATCGTTATTTTAATCACAATCATATAGGTATTGAATCTGGATTTTTCCAATGTTCATGCAAGTAGAACGGGGAAAAAATTACTTACATGCACACATGAGGGGCCGTATTACGTACTATGAAACAAATGGTAACGAGGTATCTTATCCCTTAATCACACAGCCATATTTTTTCAAGTTAGTTTTATGTTTATCACAGAACCATTAAACACATTTAGTTAATCATGGAAAGAATTAGCGTTCATGTTCATCACACAGCTGCAAGTAGCATATTTGTGAATCATAAAACTCAAGGTAGTTTTATGTTAAGCACACAACCATTAGCTATCCTTTAGTTAGTGGTTCAACTTTAAATCGTCTCATTGTTAATCACACAACCGTAGATATTATTTCTTTAATTTATAAAATCTTTAATAAGTTTACAGCCGTACGTGGCATGTCAGAGAATCATAAAACCTTAAGTCAGTTGTCTTTTCAATTAATGATACAACCTACGCCAAAACCGCAATATCTGTATTAAGTCAGAAAACCGCATTTTTTTTAATTAAAAACAAAACCGTCCGATACCTTTTTTTTTAATAAAACAACCGTAACATATATAATATTTTCATTAGACAACCATCAGTCAGGCGCACAGCTGTGAGTTATATGTTGTAGTTAACAAAAACAGAACAGGTAATCATCATCTAACTTTTGGTTAATTACAATACAGTAAGTGTTCTTTAGTTATTCGCACAATTTTTCTTGTAAATTACACAAGCATAACTTATCTCAGTTCAGTACACAATGGAAGCTATCTTGATTTAAGTTTATCATAAAATCAGGTTTCATGCTTCTGCTGACAAAACTCTTAGTTTTTTGGGGTTATTAATGTGTGCAGTCAATGGCAAATCTCATCGGTAGAAAGCATCTTTTACAAAAAAAAATATAGTTCGTCAAATTCAGGGAAATGGCAACAATTTGTTGACCCGTTGCCAGTACATTTGTATAATGAGAACAGGCAAAATGCTGTGTTGGGCGCCTTCGGCATCGTATTGCGATGAGATAGCGCTATGCAGTCGGCATCAGATCCGAAATATTATAAGGAGGCAAATACACCAGCATACCTTGCCTTCGGCACACAAACTTAAGTACATACATGCACGCATGCACGCATGCGCAACACACATGTAGGTACGTCCTTAAATGACCCTAGCTGTTGATAGGACGTTAAACCCTATACAACCAATTATATGCCAATGTTGATATCGTTATCTTTCTTACGTTATTCTTGTTACATAAGTGGAATCCCGATCTTGGGAATTTCGATAAGAGTTAGCTTTCATCTAAAAATGGTATAAGAGAATAAGCTTTTCCTCAGCTGTTGCTGGTAAAGTAAAGTGGAGGTACGACTGCGCGAAACATATTTGATTTCCATCAGAATACAAGAGAAGACAGAAAAATAGAAGTCAACATTTGGTCCTAATTGAATACCCATTAACTTGTTTCTAAATCAATTAATGGCAATACACATGTATCACTTTTACAGATTCTAAAATATTTGTTTTTCACTATACGTGTATTGGTTAGAAATTCTCCATCAAACGTATACAGTACCTCTGTCAAATATTTGATTATTGTAATGAAAAGTCCATTATTTATATTAATATAAATATAAAGGCAGTCAGCCTCCCAAATACAATGTCATAGTTACATGTTTATATATCTTTTGTGTTATTTGTTACACATTGTTTACATTTCATCTCTTTAAGCCCACTTAATGTATACCTCTTCATTTTTATCTATGGCACTATACGAATACAACGATCAATTGAATACTCTATAAGAATGCCCACATGCCTTGTTCGGTACTGTAAAATAATATACAAATATTGCATATTAAACAAATATCATTAGTGTCATATTCCGAATTCCAGACACATAATGATGCGTAGTTCGGTAAGCTTATATATTTTCTTGCGAGAACAATAAATCATCAATATATGTGTTGGCCATTTCGAGGCACTGACACGAACCCTATACATTCTGTACGAAGGAGAGTTTCCCGACAGAATAACAACTAACAAACAAGTAAAAATCATCATCTTGTAGTATCGATATTCTAAACCCTTTGTAGTGTCAGTTTGTCTTCTTACAGATACAACAGAATGCTCCGACTCTAACATCGATCATGTTATTTACAGAAATTAATGTTTAATCAGTTAATATCTATGAGTACTTCTGGAAGATCAAGAGGGCGGCGTTGGGTTAAGAAGCGTATGAAGGAGCTCCGGTA